TGCTTCCAGAAAATATGACTGAGACTTGATTGCACACAGTCAGCCACTCATCAATATCCTAGTGTAGATGGGGCTTCTCACCATCAGCCTGATTTATGTGGATTTGGGACATGGTTCTGAATCGCCTGTGGGAGGAGTTTGTGATGTGTTACCAGGTTAGAAGGGATATCACACAATGGACAGTATTGTAGAACATTCACTCTGAATAGTTCTGGCAATTGATTTAGGAATCTCATTTGTGGACCGGATGGCAGGCACGGTCTTCTTTATTTTTTATTTAATGTAGTCCCTTATTTTCTATGCTGGTTTTCTATACTTTGGTCCCTGGCTGTTCAGTTAATTGCATCTCAGAAAAACAAGAGAAATTGCATTGACAGAAAAGAAAGTTAATAAATCCTCTGCCAGTTCTCCAACTGAACCATGTGTTTTATCTTTTATAAAATATCAATGTTTTATTTAAGGAGGGGAGGGTTATGAATATAGAGATGGAGATCTGGTGGAATAAAAGAAAATCTACACTGAAGAACTTGTCCGAACTCATATGCTGGACCAGCACTTCTCTATTGGTTTTATCAGTTTCTGCAAAATGTGACCATCTGTTTTTTAAATATACATTTCTAGCATAACACATTTCCTTATGTTTGCAGAAAAAACCTCAATGCTGTGCTGTATGATAAAGATTGACAAAAGGGACAGAGACAGAAACAGTAGCTCTGAGCGATGTGAATTGGTTGGTTCATAGCAGTGGAGTGTTAAACAGGAAACTTGGTGTAACCATTTAAATATAAAAAATCTTAAAACTATAAGAAGTGAAACTGATATCAGAAACACACAACTACTTTGGGATTCTGGGCAAAAATTAAGTAGAACATCCCTGTTTTATTGCTCCTCCCCTTTTGTCACCTCTCCATATCTAGCTACTTTTCAATCAACAAGTGAGTCAGTCAGCCCAATTGTGCCAAATCTGAAAGGGCTATTGTAAAGCTTAATTGGGTTTTGTAAAGCACTTTGAGAACCTGAGATGGAAGTTGTTAGATAAATGCAAAGTATTGTTATTAATTGCGTAGAGCTTTCTAGATGATAATGAACTGGACAAAAAAATGTCTGGATATGCCTATACATGAAATACTTGGATTGCAACATGCAATTCAGATGGCTTGAATAATAGTCATATGATGTCATGTTATCCATATCATTCAATAGTTACTGTGTCACTCCAATCAATAGCGAAACAATGCTGAGCATTGAAATCACAGTTCTTGCCCTCAGCTCTGTGTTTAAAATGCTGGGGGAATCTATAGGTTTTTAAAAATTGCTTGTACATTTAGTGTTCATGAAAGTAAGGGTCTAATTGCATTAGCCAATGCCAGATTTGGTGGAGGCAGGTATAGTGCACACAATTATCTTCAATGACTGAAGCTCCTGGCTATTCCAGTCTATGGTTTGTACTGAATTTGAGACTTTGCTTTAATAACCAAGAGTAGATCACTAACACCAATGATGAAACCTTCAGGAGAAGGCTAAAGAGGAGAAAAGCTTCACAAGGTGGTTCTTGCGGTTTTCCACAAGTTATTTTGTCAGGTGAGTGGAGCTTGTTTCCCAGTGGAATGAGCTGAGTGTCTGTGTCCCTACCCTCATAGATCTTGATAAAGGTACTGGGCCTCTGTGCCTGCCCTGTGCTTCCAAGTCTACTTCTCCAAGCTCCTCATCCCAGTTCTATGGTACTATGGCTCCTGGTCATGGCTGCCCTTGGTGCCTTCCTTTAAAGGGGTTCCACAGTGTGTAGAGACTGCATGTAAAAGATAACACTGCCTAGAGCATATTACCTTTCGATTTGGTAAATCCATGGGGTCAGGTCTGGTGGAGGAACAACTTGCATCTTTCTGGCCTGCCCCAGCTGGCTCCTACCCAACACAGGCTTTCTGTCCCTAATATATCCAATCCAGGCTCTCTCCTGCTCCCAGTTGCTGCAAACAGATCAATGCACTTTGAGCTATATTTTTTAAATTACTCATTCAAGAGTGAGTGGCAACACACTGTTCACAAATGGTAGATGAATACTTGAAACCACCAATCAAAAACTAAATCTGATAAATGAAATTGCAGTCATCTGAAATGCTATCTGCCAACCATCCTATTTAAGAGGGATAAACAATTTTTATGTCATTATTATCTGTTTTTATGTCTATGCTATGCTGTTTCAAACTTTTGTATATAATGTGCAGCTGCCTGGTACTAGGTGATGTATCAGAGTAAATAGCCAATGTGGCCAGACAAGGGGCTGTTAGCAATGTGTGCTGGTGTTCCCAAAGTGAACTACAGAATAGCTTGAAAGTATCATTGGAAAAATCATCAACAAGTGATAAATAGTGAAGGGAGCTGGAGAAGAGCTTATTGGCCACTGTGGGAGGTAGGAAAGTTAGTAAATCAATCCCACTGGCCAAGCAAATTTGATGGATGAGTCACCTGCATGTGTGGGAGGTCGGAATCAATGTCCATGCAGGCCAGAGGCAGAATAGATTGATAGAAAAAGGGCGCTCAAGGGAATAGGACTGGGGAGAGGCGTGTGAGCGGGAAGTTGAGACCAGAGGAAAGTTAACTAGAAGGAAAGGTGGGGTCATGACTTTTCCTACGTAATCTTTACTTGTAACTCAGGGGAGCTTTTTCTGCCTGCCTAGTGAGGTTTGTGGTAGTCTTTGACTTTGGTATGAAGTGTTGTGATTTATTTCCATTGATCCTATTTCTCTTTTCCATGAAAGTAAACTTTGGTTTATTTAAGCTAGAATGGTGTTATTGGCTGTATGTGGTAATTGCTGAGAGCCACCCTGAGAGGAGGCTTTGACCTCTGAAGACAGGCAAAATGAGTGTGGAGGTCTGAGGTGGGAGTTCGCAGCCTAGGGCTCAGACCAGCAGATCTTGTATCATAAGGTGATGTTGGTGCTCTGGCTGATGTCAGACCAAAACATGAGAAAGGACCAAGTGGGAGATTGTAGAGCTTAGGGGCATAGGTGACTGATGTGTTTAATGACTAAGCTCTGCATAACAAATAATGACTCATGATTGACTCATGATCCTTGACTGCCACCCAAAAGTGTGCATGGTTGGTGCTGCACCATGGTCCTTTCCCCACTTTCTTACTGCCTACTTATCTGGGTCCAGCACTGTGGGGAGGGAGACTGTGTGCTGCAGTTATTGCCGCTGCTTGGTGTACTCCCCAGCAGCTCTGGAGGTAGCTGAAGCACATAGGTTCTCTGCTGACGGAATGTCTCCAGTTGTTGTCTTTGGTGCAGTACCTCTCGGCCTCCCCCAAGCTTGGCAGTGGTTTCTACAGGCACAATATGATTGCAACTCATTTGCTGACTTTTAGTTTCTATGTTCACTGCTTCTGTACCTTGAAAAGCAAGGCGTTAAAAGAGCACATTGTGCTAGGAGCGTTCTGTGCTGCAGTTCTTGGACAGGTAGAGGAGCTCTGAATGGAGTGAAAGCATAATCCTTCGTTTCCTTTTGTTTCTGTGGGGTTTAAAAATCACTTTATTTATTTTTAACAATCTTTGTGTGAATTTACTGCTTGTGGGAGGCACCAGGCTAGTATCCCTAGAGGTGGCAGCTCTGTACTTATCTACAGATCAGAGGCAACAGTGCAAACTGCCCCACTTTCTCCACTAGGCCTCAATTTTGCTCTGCTCTGACCATTTCTAGGGTTGAAAGGGTCAGTCTCTCTTTTCTAAAGGGTGCTAATAAATACAATGCCAGTTGTGGTGTGTGTGTGTGCTATGCGCACCTGTCCACTAATAAATGGATCCTAACAACTTACTTCATATGGGCCACATAAGGGTGATAGTAAATTCTGGTCTCTACTCCAGATGCTAGATTTGAACCTGAGACCTGAGACGACAAGCTTTATATACTTTCATCTGGGCTGACAGTATTTTTCCATGTCAACTTTTAGCCTGCAGCAGAATTGTTCGCAAGCTAGTTAGTGGGACTACTCATGACGGTCAGCACTACATCCATTATTATTTTTATTTATTATTTGTGTCACTGTAGGAGCTAGGAGCCCCAGTCAAGGACCAGGGCCCCATATGACGGGGTGTTTACCTCACACCAGCCCAGAAGGGATTAAGGTAGTCTAGACAGGCCAATTAACGAGATAGGCTCAGTAACTCTTAATTAAGGATGATGCTAACCTGGACAGGAACAGGCAGGGTTTCTATAAAGCTAAGAGGCTGATACCAGAAGTGGGCTGCAAGGGGAAGTAGTCTGCACTCAGTCCCTGACAGGAGGGAGGTGTGTTGGAGATTACTGGGTCTGGCGAGAAGCCATAGGGGGAAGTAGCCCTGGGAAGTGGAGATAGCTTGGACAGCTGGTAAACCCAGAGGAGTCAGAGGATAGAAGGAGGGAATAGAACAGAGCCCAGAGAAGTAGCAAACAGGTCTGGGAGTAAGTAGCCATAGTTGCAGCACATGGGGTCCTTGCGCTGGAACCCCGGAGTAGAGGCTGGGCCTGGGTTCTCCTACCAGCCACTGGGGAAGTGGCACAGCCTTGGACATACAATGGAGGACTTCCTGGAACAGCAGAGGGGCATCTTGTCCAGAGAGACTTTGACAGACTCCAAAAGGGGAGGACTATAGTGACTGTCCAGAGGGCCAAGTCATGAAGAGAGATCAGCCAAGTCACAAAGATTACTCAGAGTTCTGGAAGGTGAGATTGAGATGACGGGTTGAATGGCCACAGGAAGAGGGATCCAACCAGTGATGAGCTAATCCTCAAATAAGCCACAAGGAGGTGCACCGGCGGTGAGTAGTAAAATCTGTTATACCTCATTGTGCTAGGTGCTGTACAAATATAAAACAAAAAGACATCTCTGTCCCCAGGAAGCTTACAAATTTAATTAAAAGTGTTTACAGATATGTCCTAGTTGATGTAGAGATACCAATGGACAGTGCTGTTATTTAATACAGCTATGTTTATACATGCAGTTGGAAGGAAAAAAACCCAAACAGATTCAAAAGGTTAACTTTATTATAATACCCCTGGAAAAATTATCCAACATGCAAGCCACATTATCTTGTGCAATTTATTTAATATGTAATTTACATGCATATTTTGAGGACTTTACCATTTTAAAACAATGTTATCATTCATCCCACTGATGATTAGTCAGTATAAGCTTCAAACACTGTTTACACTGTGGTATCTCTATTTTTGTAAGTGAGAAGTGGACCAACGTGACTACATTTTGATGTAACAATCAACCAGGAAAGACAAGGTGTTCTAGGATTTTTTTTTAATTTTACATTATTTACAAAAATGTATACCATTTCTTACAGAAATCATGCAGTGTTCTTATAATTATTCACCCATTCACAATCAATCATTGTTGAAAGCATCACTTAGAACCATGGTTTTAAAAATACATTCACCTCAGTTATTTGTTACACAGATAAGGAAACTACAGGCAAAATGCTCTGATTTTTGAACCAGAGCATGAGTCAGTATAGTGGTACAAAAATACCAAAAAAGCAAGATGCACTTCTAAAACATATCCATTTCTCAGTTCTCTTGGAGATGACCAACTTGATGTAAATCTATTACAGAATTTCCCTTTCACAGATCGAACACATTTTGAAGTGCTTTATCATAAGATAAAGAATGGGGAGTACTTGTGGCACCTTAGAGACTAACACATTTATTTGGGCATAAGCTTGGGTTTTAGCCCAAGAAAGCTTATGCCCAAATACATTTATTATCTCTAAGGTGCCACAAGTACTCCTCATTCTTTTTGCTGATGCAGACTAATACGGCTACCCCTCTGAAACCTGTTATCATAGGATGTTTGCACTAAACCCCCATGAGATTCTCATACATTCTGAAAATGTACTTTGCGATATTTGCAAAAACTCAGAATTTTTGAATATGGACACTTACTTTTCTAACTGTTACCCACAAACACACATGCAGTAGTGGGGCAATGTTGATCTCATTTACTGATCTAAATGTGGAATAACTCAATTGAATAGTTATTCCTGATTTACACCAGTGTAACAGAAATCAGAATCTGGCCCTGTGCCTTTATGCTCTTTGTTTTCTCTGTAAGAGAATATTGAAATCTTTTTATTATAGGATTTAAATCTCCAGAATGTCAAGGGATTAGTGTGTGTTTTATATATCCTGTTGGTTTTCAAACAAAACTTTGTAATTTAGTCATTTGGTTATCTTTTATACCGATAATTCTCTCACTTTTTAAAAAAAATGTGCTCCAGTGAATTCATTGAGCCTGGCCCATTAAAGAGCAACGGGGAACTTTGAACAATAGATGCTTGTTTCACAGCCACTGCAAATGCTTAGAAAGCCCTAAATTGCCTTTTATACTCAACAGCCTGATAACGAAGGCTGATTTTCTTCCCACCCCCACCCCCCCAATTGATTTGATGGTTCACTTGAGTTTTAAAAACACATTACATAAATCTTTACAGCTATTACAGAAGTCTTTTGTCAAGTTTAATTTGATTTTTTTTTCATGCTGTAATCATTTATCCTTAAATTAACCATACCAAACCAATCCAAAATGTGCTTTACTCTGGGTTTGTCTGCTCATTAATTTTTAGAGGTTTATTTTATACGGGAAGGACCCTAATCTTTCCACAGGAGTTCATTCTGACAATGTGCTGAGCCCCTCCTTTGAGGTAAAGATGACTGCCCTCTACTCCCATCAGCATCATGAGGAGTTAAGGGTACTTAGGGTCCTTGCAGGACCATACCCTAAATGTCTCTTTTCTAGATATGGTGGGTTTTTTACAATGAAAACATTTAAAAAATAAAATTATGTAAAGATGTGTAACTAACATTTTGAAATGCATGTAGCTCCCCCATATTTAACATCAAGCAGTACAGCAGCAAAATATTTTAACAACTAAGCGAAATTAATCTTCTGAAATAAATAAAGTAGCTATTGGTTTAGGGCCAGATTCTACCATTTTATGTTGACTAGAACCTAACTCTAACTATAGTGTCAAAGTAAAATTGGCACAATCAGCTTCTTAGTTGGGATTTGCTACTTCTGCCTCCCTGTTTTTGTTCAGGTTTACCTTAATATCTTGGGACTTTAACCTCCGAGATGAATTGCCTTCAAGTGTATGTCTGCACTGGAGCTGAAGGTATAATTTCCAGCTGGGGTTAACATATCCTGCTGGCTCTGATCAACCTAGAGCACTAAAACTAGTAGCATCCTGTGGCTACAGGGGCAGCAGGATGGGCTATCTGTTCTGAATTCAATCCTATCTGAGACCCTAAGTATGCACTCAGCTAGCCCATTCCACTGCCCATTTAGCCATGACTATTTTGGCATGCTAGATCGATCAGTCATATCTACCCAAACTGGAATTTACGCCTTTCAGCTCCAGTGTAGACATGACACTGCAAGAGTCTATCCCTATCTAACTTTACCAATACAACTTAAGACTGGGTTTGAGGTCCCTGTGATGAAATATTCATTTTGTATAATTTTTGGTGGTCCTCCTGTCATCCTTGTTGTGTGAGAGATGGCTTTGAATGTCAAACCTGTATATCTCCTATGAGCTCCTCCTCTCACTACTATAGCACTGGCTACAGGATAAAAAGTCTTTTGAAAGTCCACCAGTATAAACCTGTCTCCCTGCTGCAGAAAGCACCTTCTGAAGGGAAAAGAGCCATATGTATTGCATGATCCATTGCTTGAATGGGAATCACTTAAAACCATGCTCTTCCCTGATGCTGCTGGTAGAAAAGCAATAGATGCTGAAAACTTTCAAGAGTTCAGCTGATGTACCGGACCAGTGAGAACTTGTGGTGTTGTTTTGCTACTTCTTCCGGAAAGAGACACAAACCAGTTGTGTTCCAAACTGTTTTATTATACTTGTCACTGGCATATTTTGATTTATGGCTAAGGCCTTCTGCAGCATGGTTACATCTCATTTCTTCACTTGTGCACTTCGAATTTATTGTGTTTCTATTTTTCTCTTCCACCTTCTTTGTTGAGTGCATGTGATTGAGAAGTACAAATGCTATTCCATAGAGTTAGAAGGGCCAGGCCTTCCTGTTAGTTATACAGGTATTCAGATACCCCACTGATGGGTGCAGAATAAGATTCTAGCCATTCTGACAGTGACACGTCATCAGAACTAATTGCCATTAAATAATTTCAGATTTTGAGTGTCTCCACATGGGAGGGATGGACTAGCTGACCTCTTGAGGTCCCTTCCAGCCTTACATTTCTATGATAGACAGAAACCTGGTAGAATTTTGGCAAACGGAAATGAGTTTTCACCTTGAAAATCTATAGTCAAGACTCAGTAAGCTGGGCCTCAATTAGAAAGGCCCTGTATTCTGCAGCAGACTGGAAATTCAGTGGCCATTTCATTTAGATGTAACTGGGAGGTTTTTAATGAATTAAGTAGAAAATGAAGATTGCAATTAGCACAATAGTCCCTGTGTTGTTTATTCTGATATGGAATGCAATTTATTTTCTGCCATCCTTCTGCTTTCAGTTGTCAACATCATGGAGGTTTTTGCATTGACAGTGCATGCCAGCATCACAAAACTTGTTTGGGGCTTTTGCCACAGTGGGGCTTTTTAGGGCTAAAACATATTTGGCTGGATTTTTCTGCTAAAATGATCAGCAGTGAAACAGTTAATATTTAAATTGTCATCTTTTGGTTTCAGAGTCGCTGTCCTATTTAGAAGAACAGAACAGTTCATATCTCCCAAAGCTACTGAATCAGTAGACACTCGAGTCACATTTTCAAGGTTTTTTCTCAAGCTTAAGGGCTAAAAATATTCTGTTTTTTTTTTCTTAATGAATCTTAGGTTCCGAGGTAAAAATATGGGTAGCAAATTTGGTGGCCTTAGAATTGTGAAATAAATGGCGCCCTCTGTATAGGCAGATGGTACGTTAAATTTAAAAATCACCAATGGGCTCTTCTAATAAACTGCCACATAGATGACCTGAGTTCAGGTTTGGCCTCATTGTGGAACTCTCACTCTCTGCTTGCTCTCAAACTCATTCAAATCCATGGTAAAACTCTTCTGACTTGAATGGGTGCAGGAATGGCCTCTGTCTTGGACGGTTGAGAAACAACAAATCCTGCATCTTGGCAGAGGATTAGACTAGATGATCCTTGTGGTCCCTTCTAACCCTAGGTTTCTATGGTTCTATGAGCTGAGGGGAGTGATGTTCTTAAGGGAGAAGGAGAGACAAAGTGTGGGGAAAGAAGGATGTTATGGTTCTTGAATGCTCCCATGCCTACTTTTTCTTAGGGTTGTGCTTATTGTAGCAGAGTGGAGAGAGGCTGTTTATTCCTGTTTAAAGGAATGGGGCAGTGTACACCATGCATGTAACTGCTTCGTGAGGAGAGGGCAGGGCTGTAGCAGAGATAAAGAAATAATCCAGAATAAAACAATCAGTAAAATTACAAAGGCCTATATCCAGTCTTGAGCCCCTAACCATGCAGAGGTGAAAGCATCTCCTTAGTTAGATATGGTAGTATAAGGGGAATTCATTCTCTATCTCCTGGAGTAACTTTCTCATTCACGTTCACAATGGGCTAAATTCTGCTCTCATTGACACTGCTGTATATACTCACAACAGTGTAAATGAAAGCAATATTTGGTTTTGTATTTGTTATAACCACTGTGATTTATCCCTTGTGTAACTTGAGGGATGAATTTGTGTGAATAGGTGCAATTTACCCAGACAGTATTCTGTTATTGAAGCCATTATTCAAATAAAGAATTCTAAAATAAAAAAAAAATACAAGTTACTGGTCACACTGACCAATATTGTTTTGGGGCCAGAGTAACGAGATCTTTATGCAAACAATAAAAGTAGAATTAATGCAAGCACACAGCTGCTCCACTGGAATAACTGTGCCAAACTGGCATTATTTTTTAACATACACTCCACTCTGGACCAGGATCCATTGTTTGATAGTGGCTGTATTCCTGCAATATTGCACATGATGTTGTAAACATCGACCGATCTGATTGGAGGCGCCCTGAAGTTAGATTTGAAATCTGAAACAAAGAAATGCAAAGAGATGTTTTAGTCTCTGAATGGCAGGCAGGATTTAACGTTGGATAATTTCTTTTGCTTGAGGTTTTGAATTGCAGGAGCATCCAATAAACAAGGAATTAGGTGGGATGGGGACCTAATGTCTTTCCAGAGACTAATAGAAAGTCTTGTGAGTAGGACACAAAATTATCTGTTAAAATTAATTGGGCAAATAAGAAAAGAGAATGGAACTATTAAACATAGGAGCTATTTAAATGTTTACATGTTTGTGCATTTAAACATCGCTCTGCTGCCTTTTCAGCAGACAGTTTTGCTTTGCAATGATTGTGTGAAAGATTCTGAATCTATTTTTTCCCCTCATCTGTGAAGAGCATGCACTAGTCGATATTTAAAGGGTCTGACAAACTGGGACTCAGAAATTCTCTATGTAATGATGCAGCAGGTGTATGATATAAGTAATAACCACATGGTTATCAAAGGAGCTACTCTGTCTTGATGAGCCCTTTGCCAAGACTAAAAAAGAATACCTATATTTCATGTAGATTTAAAAGAGCTCAAGCCTAGCTGAGAACAGCAAGGTTCAATGGATCGGAAACTGTTTTGGGAATTAGGAGACTTCCTGTTTAGCCCTGGGCAAATCACTTGATGTCTCTGTGCTTAGTTTCCCCATCTGTAAAATGGGGATAATGGTACACACCTACAGAGTGTGTTCAGATCTGATGATGAAATCCTGTGCACCCTGTATATTAGTAGTAGTATAGAAATAGCATAATATACACAGAGATCAGGATCTGAGACTCCACGTCATCCCAGATAATTACTGGTTGATTGGGAAATCTACGATAGTGTGCATGTCATGGAAGTGTACATAGCAATACATCGAGAGTTGCCAGGGCCTGGAATAGAAGTGCCAATGTGCCAAAGATCACTGAAGGATTTAAACAATTGAGGATCTCAAACAATACAGGACCTATTGATGGGCCCATGTGCGAGCCTTGGAGTACATTAACAGGAAGGGATACTCAATGCTGATCCGAGGCTTGGGTGATCATAGTGGTAGGTTCCTGCACACTTACCATCAGGTGGCCATACAAAGTGCATGATGTCTGAAGGGCAAAGCAAATGTAATCATTGGTTTCTCCCCTAGTTTCACATAAGATATAGAGGCTAAAAGGAGAACAACCTTGCTCTACTTTCGTATGGGCTGTGATGGAAAGGCTCCATGTCCAGAATTAACTTCTACATCAACGCTCCACCCAAAACACTGCAGCACTGTGGATCTGCCTTTTCTCTGAAGCTATTGTAGAGGCGAGGCGGGGTGGGGTGGGGAGTTTGTGATTATCTGATCATTCATTTGGCCTACCTGGCCCATATGCGAGGAAGAATCCCCTCATGTTCATGAGCTCATTGTCATATCCATGCCACCCATTCTGCCAGGCCTCCTTTTTCCCTGTGCCATTCTCCCAAAATGGAAGTTTCTCTTTACTCTGGGGGAAGAGAAACAAAACACAGGTTAACATATAAATGCCATAAGAGGGAGCCTTTAAATAATGAAGGAACTGGGTAATTAATAATGTATCGTAACCTTTATTTTGTAATGGAGTTTATGTTCTGTCTCCATAGTCATAGGATCGTAGTAGTCAGAGATGGAAAAGACTTATTAGATCATCAAGTCCAACCCCCTGAAAGGGCAGGATATAGTCACCAATAGGGGACATAGCAAGTATATTGAAACGGCACTTGATTCATTACAATAGAATTCAAACGTAAAAGGAAGGCACATGAGAATGTCCTTATATTGTTATTACCTTCAATGGTATACAATGCCACATCTTCAGGCCCTGAGCCTGAGGGCAGCTAACGGGGAAGATAACCTTTTCAATTTGTATTCCCCTCTTCTCTGAATGTTTCTGGTCGGTGAATATAGATACAGAGCTAGTCCATATCAATGAGTTCTTCTATGGCTGCTTCCTAGCAATGCCACTTTCTGACCAATTTCTGTCTTTCAATTCAGTGGAATAATTTACATGTAATTTTGTCCTTTGCTCTCATTACCAATGTCATAAAAGCCAGAAAAGGAAAAGACCTGTTAAAAAAGTTGGTCCATTTCATCCAGTCAATCCAATCAGCACAGGACTCTTCCCTACAACAAATTCTCAAATGTTTTGTCCTGTTTGCTTGCTTTATTATTGAAGCAATGAGGCTTCCTTTAGGAAGCTATTCCTAAATCAGGTCTGTGGAAGTTTTTGCTGAGGACATTCACCCTATGTTTTCTTTTGCTTAGTTTCATACCATTGCTCCTAATTATACCCATGTAGACCACTCCAACAATTCTTTTCCTTCCTTAGTGTCTGCATTCTTCAGATACTTGTACACAGTCATTGTATCTCCAGTTTGTTTTCACTTAACCATGTTACACAGAAATAGTACTTTTAAACATTTCTCCGGAATCAGTCTCTCCAGCTCCATAGTAACAACTACTTAACAAAAATTCATTAGTACTTTTCATCCAGGAGGCTCCTAGAGGTCTTAACAACTGACATACAAGCAATAATGGAGAGTTATTTCCTCCATCACTGGATTGCATCCTCCCTGGAATGAAATGTTGCAGCTGTTGAACAGCACACAATGCCACACAAATATTTTAGGGCATGAAGTAAAGAAGACAACGTAGTTATTTGAAACTGCAGAAGGAATTTATGAAGACCATAATGTAATTATCAAAGTTGGAATTTTGCCAGAACCCTGGAGTTAACACACCTACTGTTTTTAAAAGGACCATGAGTCCTGAATGAACACAAGTGGTCAGGAATCAGGATCTCACTTTTACATCTCATCCAAAAAATGGCATGTTTAGCAGTGCCTACTAACACCATGCTTGGGCATCGGATCAAGACTAGAGCTGGGTGACCAGGGAGAAATAATTGTAATCTCTTCAGTGACTTCTAAATAATATTTCACTTCATCAATTAATGATATGTTAAAATTCTCCTGACTGATGAGTAACAGTGGCACTGAGTGGCCAGGCCCAAGACTAGAGAGATAGTGTGTGCACCTTGTTTCCATAGCTCCAGTAAACTCGGACCAGTGATGAGACAGACTGATTTAAGATTCATTTCCATTTTATTTATGTTTATTATCTGATTTTATTCTCTCTTCTTCCCCCTCCCAAACAATTGACCATGGATAGAAACTGTGGGATCTATATAAAAAAAAAGTATTGTAAAGTGTAGATCTTTAGGCTGCTAACTGCAGGAACCCCTTGAGTATCCATGCATTTCTTTGTATATAACAGTCAGCAGATGTACAAGATAATTGAACAGTTCTAGTTGACAAATTAAATCTGTTGCCTTGTCTCCATTGATTTCACTGACAGCACTCAGAGCAAGCTGAAGAGAAAATGGACTCAGTCTGCTTTTTTGTATAATCTTCTACTATAGTGCCTGCCTACACCACTATTCTGCTTAATGGAGTTCCAGGAAACTAATTGGCTGCTCACTATAGGACAAGTTGTATAGCATTTGTTGGCATCCACTCAAGTCATGCCAAGTCTTATCTAAGTTGCAAAGTTTCTTTGGAGATATCATGACATGGCTGAAATTAAACCTTTTAAAAGCACTGTCAGATGTTATGGACTCAGCTGTTTCCCTAGGAATGCCAAACTCAGGAAATAGAATGCCTTTCGATCACCAGCCCAAGAGTACAAGGAGAATAGTACCTTACTGTAGCTGTGAAATGCAGTCAGAAACATAGCAACTTTTTGCTGGTATTTGGGTGAGAAAACATGTTACTTTCTTTTACATTGGCAAATGGTTGCATAGGGTCATTAATAGCACTGGCTTCAGGCAAACATAGTATGGGCAGGTGCTATGCCACGTTCCCAACATAGTGTTCCCAGGACACCACACTCCGTCCTAACTTGCAATAACTCCCCTTGCTAACCCAGTCCTGCTTCTGTTGAGAAGAGAGTACCAGTAGCTCAGAACTGTGCCAGCATGTGCAGTGATTTTGTGATTTGCACAAATGGGAGCTAGGATGAGATTTGACAAACCTATTTCTCCTATCTAACTTAAACCAAGACTGAACGTTGATCTCTAACAGTGAAATGCTAATGTACAAGGCCACGCAATTCCCTAACCCTCCCGACATTCTAAGGTTCTCCTACATACTTATGTTTGTTTGTAAGTACAAATTCAGCTTGTTTCAACTGCAGAAAGTACAGCAGTAGAGGTACGTAACATAGACAGGCCAGCAAGCAAAGCATTAAGTATTGAGATACTGAAACACAAATACATTATATTGAAAATTAAATTGGAGTAAAGAATGAGTAATGGTTCAGGAGGAACAAAATAGTATCAACACCGAAACCAACAGAACTTATTAAAAAAAAAAAGGGCCAGCAGGGAGTATTGAGCTTTGGATAGTGAAATACAAAAGTGAAGTCTGGAACGTATGGAGAGGGTAGAATTCCAGAGACATTCCCCCTTTCTGCTCAATAATAATGTGAGTAGTGCTCAGAGAGTACTAATAACAATGGAAAGTTTTAAAAAAATTTAAAAGGTGAACACAATAGGAAAGAGCTTGACAAACTCTTTTCAGTGGTTTGGGCAGAAAAATAATTGAAATCTCAATTATTACTTTAAAAATATGACACACAACTTCTTTTTCAAATCTGAGTCTCAGATAATGAAAATACACCCAGAGTGAGGAAGAATTGACTGAATGAATGAGAGGGCATTCTTGAAAATCAGAAACAATAGGGAGGAATGGGCAGAAAGACAGAAATAATTTTGTAATAAGCAATGTTTGCTCTACTGTTGTTAAGGGTTTGTCAAATTTCCATTATTTAAATTTTTTTCAGTATTCATAAGTGTTCTGAATGTTAAGCTGGTACTGAACAAAAGGTTTTAAAAATGTTTTTTAAAAATCAATTAAAGAAAATGGTTTCAGATACTTTTTTTATATATTTTTGAAACTCATCAGTGGTATTTAGATTTTTAAACTAAAAATGTGCAGCTCACCAATCCATATTCACAAATGATTTTTTTAAAGGAGGCATTTAGGTAAGTTTGTGAAACTCAGCATCACAAACTAGAGGTGTTATGTTGAAAATGTGGCAGTCAGATAACTATATGACAGGCATAAAAGGAGCTGTTCTGTTTAGCTATGTTAATTTGTGAGGCAAATGTGGTATAGTTATTAGAGAGAGAGACTGGGAGCCAGTATTCCTAGGTTCTATTTCCAACTCTGTTACTGACTTATGTCACCACTAAGTGACTTTGGACAAATTACTTAACATAGTGGTGCCTTCATTTACCTGTCTATAAAATGTGTATAACCATAGTTACCTAACTTCAAGATTGTGAGGCTTAAGTAACATTTGTTGTTAAAGCTGCTCGAGAATTTTTTGAGGAAATGTTTTTCACCAAAAAGTTATTTGTCAGATCAGAAATTATTTGTGGGAAAGAGTTTTGATGAATTTCCCAACTTAAAAAAAAAGTTGGAAAAGAAGTTTTGAAATGGTTGAAATGTCACCTTTTGACATTTTTGAAACAAAAAAGTTATGGGCGTTTGGTTCAAAACTCTTTTAGTTTCCTTTTTTTTTTCAAGATTTTGATTTTTTTTTTTTTTGGTCCCAATTTGAGATGGGAAAACTATTTCCTGCTCAACCCTAAATGCAATGCACTTTGAAAGACTTGCATGAAATATCAAATACTAAATAATAGTAGTAATATTTTATAATAATGAAGAACTGTTATGAAAGTCTCTATATATACAAGAGTAACAAATTCCACTTTAAAAAAACAAGTGCTTAGATATTAAACTCTGTATACGGGGTTCTGTAATATTTAATTACAGTTTGCCTACTAAAATTCATCCTTGCAGTTTCAATTAGATAAGGTATTCTTCATTTCCTGTCTTCGGACTGTGGTTGCTACTGTATGCACTGCAAGAGGGTCTGATCCTGCAAGATGAGTGCCTCCCGGGAGCATTTAGCACCTTTCTGGAAGGCACTCTGAAATAGCCATTGTATTCCACCCCAGAAGTGATTGCATTTCAGTGGTAGTTAAACTGAGTCCTATGCATAGAAATCAGTGCTCTCTCGATTATGTATTCCTTCCAAAACCTGAGTTAAATAGGAGTTTTGGATATATAAGGAATGGAAGATTGTGAAATACTTTGTGAAGTGCTTTACATCTGTGAAGTGCTTTGGTTTCCTTTTGGATATAACAGCCTACACGTGTATGTCAATTACATTTTTGATTTAAAAAAAATCTTGTTTTTCCAAAATAATTACACATAACTACCTGTGTGTGTGTGTGTACGTACACACACACACACACACACACACACACTTCATTAACATGGTTGTGCTTATGGCAGATAACAAAATGCCCATCTTCAGCCACTTGTAAGCATTCACTTACATACACCTAAAACAGTTACTTTGTTGCGTAAATGCTGATTTTTTTATCACCTTTGGGTATGGATTCCTTATAAATAAGTTTTTATCTATAACAAAAAAAATCCATCCCCTTTGAATTACATAGAGGGTGGGGAAATTACCAGAAGCAAAGGAATTATTGAAAATTGTAGTAATGTAGAGCTTAGTGGTAGGGAGATGGTAGCAAATAATTGGAAATGGGGGGAAGTCAAGAGAGTAGATAGTATTTTTAAGAGACAGTGTGATGTCAGAAGAGTACCTGGGGAACCAAGTCAAGGGTACTCTGGTGGAGGAAATATTGTCATACATTAGGATAATCTTAGGTAGCAAAAGAAAGTAATCCCTGAACCTAACCAGAGGAAGGTTGAAAGGAAAAGGTAAACTGGATGAAGAGGAAAAATAATTATATGCAAAAGGGAATAAGTTTCAGCTCTTATTATACCACGACTGGACAAAGGACCAATCTTAACTTAGATTTGATGTAGTTATCACACTGTTTGTTTCATTTAAAATACATTTCTAGTATTTAAATGTGGGGCAGTAGTATTTATCCCAGCTAAACTCCGAGTCAGTAGTATAACTCACCATTAATCTTATAATTTTACATCTTTTTTATTATTCATTTTATATATTATATTTTTTAACCAGACTGGTAAATCAATAATTTGTTCATACACATTACCTCTGCTATGAACCATCCTTCCTCAGCCACAAGAGTTAAAGGAGACACAAATTTCCCTTTTTTGTAATAGAATCTATCTGGAATTTCCTCTATGCTATAAACATTCATGTGTTGCACAGCTTTCAGTTTATTATGCACCTGTAAAGGAAACAAAAGTTATAAAACCATCTGCCTGTAAAAATTGCACATGTATCTGTTGGTGAGGGAAAACTTCTGCATTTTTAAACCAGATAGCTTATCTTCATAAGTGTCCAGTTCTGTGCACCAATACTCATTAATGCATACAAAAATGAGACTTTGCAGGTGCAAATGGGTGTTTATGCAAATTTGGTAGATGTGTTTTAGGAGGCTCCTTTGAAAATTTGCCCCCTACACACACCCAATTTGTGTGTATACATGTGCACACATGCACATGCACACTGAGCTACAGCACTGGAAACAATTATGGAGATACTGAGGGTATGTCTACACTACCCGCCGGATCAGCGGGCAGCGATCGATCCAGCGGGGATTGATTTATCGTGTCTAGTCTAGACGCGATAAATTGACCCCCAAGTGCTCTCCCATCAACTGCTGTAATCCAGCGCCGTGAGAGGTGCAGGCAGAGTCGATGGGGGTGTGGCAGCAGTCGACTCACCGCGGTGGAGACACCACGATAAGTCGATCTAAGTACGTTAACTTCAGCTACGTTATTCACATAGCTGACGTTCCGTAACATAGATTGATTTCCCCCCCCCCTCCCCGCTCCAGTGTAGACCAGGGCTGAGTTAAACAGTGAAAACAAGTGTGCTCTAGTAGGCAGGACCACCTGGGGCTGGGGTGGGGAGGGAGAGGATTTGAAGGGCAGTTGCCCTGGGCCCCTGTTTGAGATAATAGCTCTCATCTATCTCATAAGGATGCCGTGAGATTAATTCATCAATGTTTTATTGGAGCTCTGAAGACGCTTAGCCCTATGTCTAGAATGTCAGCATACAAATTTAACCCAAATTATTCAGCAGAAATACTCAGAGAACATATGGTGGAGATGTGTCATTATTTAACTTGAGGGTATAAATCTCTCTCCTCCACACTTTTCATTGTTATAACCTACATGGAAGGATAGATGCATTAATTGTGAGGTAAAGTTCACAGCCTTTAAGTAAAGTTAGGCCAATGGCCTGAATATTTAAGTGATGGTTTCAGATGAGTGCAGGGTGGATTTGCTTTGTTTCACTTCCCCTGCCAAATATACACCTCACATGGAAACTCTCCACAATTACAGCCACCATCAAGAAACAATGCACCAGTGTCTAATAACTGGACTCACTGGGTCAAATCCTGCCATTCTTATGTTGAGCTGAACCTTAATTCGTGAATAGTCCTATTGTTTTAAAATTGAATTGAACTGCTTAAAAGTATTGTACTGGTAGTACTTGACATGAGTTAAGAATGGGAGAGTCTGGCTTGCAAGAAAAAAGGCTGTACTTACTGAACTTATTACAGTCTGTCCACTAGCTTTGAGATGGTTACTTCTGGTGCTGTTAAAGTAACTGACTCCTAGGCTATGTCTACACTTAAAACGCTACAGCGGCACAGCTACAGTACTGCAGGTGCACCTCTGTAGAGCTTCAGTGTGGATACTCACTACAGAGACAGGAGGAGTTCTCCCATCACTCTAGGTAATCCTACAGATAGTAGCTAGGTTGATGGAAGAATTCCACTGAATTCTACACTGGGGGTTAGGTCAGTTTAACTACGTCTCTCGGGGGGATGGGGGGATTTCCACACCCCCCTGAGAAACATAGCTTTTCTAATGTAACTTTTCAATATAGGCTAGCCCAGGGATTCTCAAACTGGGGGTCAGGACCCTCAGGGGGATCACAAGGTTATTACATGGGAGGTCGCAAGCTGTCAACCTCCACCCCAAACCCCACTTTGCCTCCAGCAGTTATAATGGTGTTAAATGTATTAAAAAGTGTTTTGAATTTATAAGGGGGGGTCGCACTCAGAGGCTTGCTATGTGAAAGGGGTCACCAGTAAAAAAGTTTGAGAGCCACTGGGCTAGCCCTAAATGATCAGCTGCAAACTCAAATGCACTCTGTAGATAATGGGAAAGTTAGGGAGGATGGCCCACTCTGGGCAGTAGCATTCCTAGGAAAAGATGATAAATTTAATTTCCTTTAAAAAACAAAAACAAAAACCAAAACTCCCATTAGGGAAATGGAAGGTACTCTTGATTACTCTGTGCTCTGGAGTCGTGAAGAAAACTCCTTCAGAAAAAAATCCCCATGCAGCAACACCCTGCATTCTGTCACTACCCCAGGACATAGAGCCATTTAATGGAACTTAAGCAGGTGCTTTGTTGAACTGAGCATGAGCTCTGTCAATGTGATAGCAAGCATTACGGTGGCTGGTTTGCAGATCCAGCCAAAAAATATAAAGGCCTCTGACATGAGACTGAGGCAGGTCAGCCTCCAGAGAGAGGGCATTATGAGTATTTTAATAACCTGTGTGAGCCCTACATGAAAGCTCTGGCACTCCTTTGAGACCACTTTAAACCCTGGCACTAGCTTCAGATGGTCAGACCATCAAGTCAGTACAATACCAGCTCTATTTCCTGAAGTGGCTGTTTTTGTGCAGAAATCTACAACCTTTGCCCTCTCTTATAATCATTTAATCTACAGTGTACAAGTGAGTTATGAAACTGCATCCACTAGAAGATGAATTGTAGGAAACAATCTTGCACCGGTAGGTACCTGGACTAGATCACTTAATATGTCTACTTTCTCTGATTCTATGGAAAACAGTAATAGTTTTTCAAGAGTATGTTTTTTACTTAACTATCAATGGGACATTCTTATTTGTTAGCCATATTGCGCTTTCAGAAAGTTAGTCTAGAACTTCACTTGGTTTCCATAATTTTATTTTCAACAGTCTCAAAACCAGCAGTTTGGGGCTTTTGTCATTTATCGAATCAAAAATGCTAATGCTTCAAAATTGTTGTAAAGAGATTGTCATTGTTGTAAAAAAAAAAAAAAAAAACGCCAGAATTTTCAAATGAGCCTAATTAAGTTAGATGCCCAAATGCCATGGAAATTCAGTGGAATTAGGGCACTTAACTCCCTTAAACTCCTTTGAAAATCCCAGCCTGGATGCTGAAAGTTAGGGTTCTATATAGGTGCCTAAAAATGGACATAGAACTGACTTGATTTTGAGACATGCTGCACTCCTCTTGAGCTCAATGAAAGCTGAGGGTGCTTAGGTCCCCTTGAACATTTATTTATGGATTAATGTTAGTCTAATTAAGTCTAGTGTCAGGCACCAGGTTAGAAAATGTTGGCAGTGTTTTATAGTATTAAACTAAAAAATTAGAAAACAAGTCTACCTCTCTGCCTAAAGCAAATAGATGTTGCTAATATTCGATGGGTGTTTGTGTGTGTGTATTTGCATAAAGAATATAATTCAGAGAAAGATTATAGTTTTTGATTTGCATGATGTGAATTTTACTCAAAAATGGTTTGCACTTTATCATTCATCATTAGGTGAAACCTGAATCACAGGTCCAAATTCTGCCTTCTGATATGCAACTCCAATTGACTTCGGTAGGACCTGTACATGCATATCTGAGGGCAGAACTGGACTCCCAAGATTTAAACTAAAGCTGAGAAATGATTGATATAAAACAGAAGAAATAACGAAATGCTTCTTTTGCTTGCCTCAGTCTGCTTCTCCTTAGTTGGCCACAGGCTCACAACAGGGCCTCGGTCCTTTACTTGGATAATATCAGTCATATTGATATAGTTCTTCAACTCAATCACTTTGTCCACCCAGGAAATGTCAGTCATCCCATGATCCGAGAACAAAATGACATTCAGGTCATTCTGAAGGCCCTTGTCCTGTCAAATTAGTGAAGATAGCAATTACAGTTTGAAAAGAATACAGTGTGTTCCTAAGTCAAAGTTTTGTGATAGGTGGCTGAATTCATTCTTGCCTAAATTCCACTGCAATCAGTGGAGTTACAGTGGGGATGGGTTTTGCCTGGGATACTTTACAGTAAATTACAACAACAACAACAGAAAGTCTAGTCTTGGTCTGTTCAGACAGATCTCATGAGATTTTCTATCATTTTGGCCTGAGATTTTTCAAATGCTGATCAAAAGAATTTGGCACTATCTCAGTTGAATCCAAATCTTACTATTGGTTCAAATTTAAACCTGACCATCAAACCCTATCTTGATTCTAATCCCCATCTGGATAACTGCCATCAAACTTCCTGGCACTATCTCTAGTTAAAGGTAGTATTTCATTCCTATGCATTTGTTGTTAATGAACATTTCATACAAACTGCTATGCACCAATCCCAATCTCATCAAAGTGAATGGGAGTTCACTGGGACCAGGATCTGACCTAATCTCTTTTTCTCTTTAGTCCAAACAGACTGAGAAAAACTTTCCCATGTCCATCTGCGTGGGCAGGTCATTTCCCTCAAATATAAAACTTTAATTCTGTTCTGGTGCTCTTATAGTTTATTGAGATTGAAATAGTTTTTCACCCCTTTCCTCATATTACTTATTGCTGAGGAAATTAATACCTCAAGGTTTATTTGCCATTATGGACAGGTATCCATAGCACTTCATGCTTCCTGGTGGCAGAGACATTCACAGAACTGGCTTTTACCCAGCAGCCTGATGTGCTCATTCCCCACTATAAAATCAGCTGGATAATTTTTAAAGCGAAGTTGCAAGATATAGAGTTATGAATAACACCATAAATCTGCCATAAAAGGTAATTGTCTGATTCTACAGCCCTTATAAAAATGCGTAATCTTTACTCATCTCCCTAGTGTAAATTCCAGTTAACAACTATGTTTCTGAAAAGAGCAATGTCCCTGCTGGTTTACAGCTTCCTGGGGCTAGTGATATTATCATGCAAACCACTAGAGACCAATACAGAGCGTCTATTGAAATTAAATTAAGGGCAGCAGTATCATGCCTTAAGTTCCCAGCAAAATCAATAACCTCTGTTATTGCAGAAATTCAACCTTAACTGCCGTTACATGGGTATGAACAGAACTTGAATTCTCAAAAAGAGTAATTCCCAGAGCCCTCCTGGGAGGCACTGGGGTTTGGGGCATCAGCCCTGTGGATTTAAAAATATTTACCAGAGCTCTGCTCTGTACAGCTCCAGCTGACTTTAACCCCTGAGTATGAATATGCATAACATTTTCCATAATGTCCTGCAGAGCCATTTTTTAACCTCTTCAAACAACATTGTTTTATAGTCTCAGTTAAATACTGTTTCAGAAATACCTCTTTAGCAACACTTGTTGCAACAGTAGAATTATTTTAAGGTAGAAGGGGTAATTCATTATAACATTGAACTGACTCATTCAGCTAAGTACTATGTTCAAGAAAGAAGGCAAATCACAACTATAAACACCATGTATAACAAAGAACCTTTCACTACCAAGCAGTTGTCTAATACAGGAAAGAAAATTTACAAAGGGAAAGGTACTAAGAGCTTGGCACCTTTGAAATGCCACATGCTTATTAACCAGCGAATTATTGCAAAGGAGCTATAATGGTAATAAGGATCAAAGTAGACAGAAAAATGAAGCATACCAAAGCACATATTCTCTTGTCACATCACTGACCTTGATTAGTTTGGTCATGTTGTTCAATACTTTGTCCACTGCCTTCAAAGCGTTCTTCCTCTGAACAGATGAAGGACCGAAATGGTGACCTTCCACATCGATGCGTTCGTAGTACACTGCTGCCATTTCTGCACTGCCATTTCTGGGGTTGCAACATAGCAAAAGAGTCAGATGCCAACATGTACATTGTTTTACTTTTTCAGGGGCCAATACCACTCATTCTTATTCAGGTGAACATTGAATTAACCTTAACTTGCCTACTATATATCAAGGATATGTTATCAACAGTATATACCATCATTTGCATTAGGATCACTGCAACAAGATTTTGTGAGTGTTTCTTAGACCTGGTTTCCTTTATTAAAATAGTATTCTACAGTAATGGTCCAAAGCACAGCAGTTTACATTAATGCTAATACAATGTTTTGAGCCATTAATGTTGAATACTGTATTTATTTTAATTAGTTTTCCTTTTTACTCATTGGCTTCAGCAACTTTTGGAGAGAGATCCCAAGATAATCTGAAATTCACGTCTTCTGTTGGGCACACTAGTCAAAAAAAAAGGGGGTGGGATGGAGGAAATCATGGAAGTTAGAGATTGGAAGAGTGTGTTAGGTCAGGGATTCTCAACCTGTGAGTTGTGAACAGGTGTTGGGGTTGCGACCACCTAGTCCTTCCAATATTGTTAAATGGGAGAGATGGTCTTAGCTGGATGAGAGGGAGATCCCAGTACAGAAAATGAGGTCCTGGCATGGAAAAGGTTGAGAACCATTGTGTTAGGCAATCTAGCCTATCTCTGGTACTTATTCAGTACAAAACATTTTCTCATTCTTTGTCTACTCTAATTTAAAATATTTGAAGTGAAGGTGCCTTTATTTCGTTCCTCTGGAGACTATCCACGGTTTAACAGATCTCATTGACAACAATATTTCCCCACTATTCAGTCTAAATTAATTTTTCTTAAATTCAACTGATTACTTCTACTATATATATACCTTTTGAACCTCTCTCTGAATAGTTCTCTTCCTCTTCGATGTTTACAGCCTTCAAATACTTTTATCTGAGGTGTGTTTTCCCTCCTCACCCATTCCCAAATCATCATTTAGTTCTATATAAAAGCCGTATAAGATCTAAGTATTACTTATTCTTGATTGTATGAGATGAATGGACTTATTTAGACTGAGATGTGAAATTTCTTAGTAAGGGCTCAGTCCTGTCGGATAAATGCTTAACTTCAAGCATGTGACATTTATGGGACAAATAACATGCCTAAAATTAAGCACATGCATAAGAGGTTTGCAGGATCCAAGCAGGAGTGGCCGGAATCTTACAAGACTGAGCTCTTATTAGCTATCATTTTTACCATAAAGAATGCTGAAGAGAGCAGGGTGTATGGTATAACCAAGAAATGCTTTACCTTTTCAAAGCACTGCACAAACATTACCTTATCTTCATGACACCATTTTACAGCTGGGGAAAATGAGACAGAGATTTTGGTCTAACTTTTCAAATGTGTATATGTAAAATTTGGCTTCTAAATATGGACATGGGAGCTTAACTTTGGGCATGTAGTTTTAAAAATGTTGGCTAAAGTGACTTTCTCAAGGGGCTTGATTCAAAGAAATGGGAAATCTCCTGAAACAATCTTTCCTTTGACATCAACAGGAGTTGGACTGGGCCCATAGCCAGTAGACACTCCAGATGAGAAATCTTGTCTCCACTGAAGTCAGTGACAAAACTCCCTTCAATGGAGCCAGGATTTCACTACAAGATTAGACTCAGGCGTTCCTGTTTCCAGACCCAAGACTTATCCCTACACCATGCCAGAACTCATAAAAGGCCCTATCCTGCTTTCACTGAAGTTAGTTCAGATTTTGCTGTTGACTTTAGTGAGAGCAGGAGCAGACCCAATTCATTAACTTCTAATGACTGCCTCATAGCTAAAATGCACATTTGGGGGATTTTAATTTGAGGCTTTTCTAACTGCAGCTTCAAATATTAACCAACTGACTGACAACCTGGTGTGTAACACTTGGCATTCTTGTCTTTATGTGGGAGAAAGACCTTGCCACGGACCATTTTCCCACATGTAGTTCGTTTCAGCCATAGGTTAGTTGGTTTAAAACGTATTTGTGTGTGGAAAGGAGGCATTTTACAATTGGGAATGGATCTATTTATCTGCCTTTTACAGTGCCAAGAATCAGAATCTCTACCGGCCATGTGTAATAATAATGGAAATGACTAATGGAAGTGTCTTTTCTACTGAGATTGAGGGCACAAATTTACACCTCTAAAATAACTATATTTCCAGAGTACTCCTTCCAGCCTTATGTCTAGCACAACAGTACAGTAAAACAGTCCATTCTTTCTTAAAGTAGTGAAAATGGATGATGGGGATAGAAAAAAGAAATGAGAGAGAAAATGAGGAATAAGAGGAAGATAGTTTATAAATCTTAATCCCCTCTTCTCTCCTTGCTTTCTTCTTCCTTCCCTATTCCCCCTTTCTGTAAGTAGCTATCATATTAATACTTAAGACTGATTTTATTTTCAACCACTCTCACTCTCCATCATTCTTCCCTTGCTGCGTCTATGCAAATAGGTAGCAGCTACATGGATGCGGGTTTAAAGAAATGGAACTCAGTCCCTCCGGCTGAAGTTCAAGAGGGAGTCAGAGAGGAACTTCTTGAAATGAAAATAGGAAATTAGAGGTGGTTGTAGCTCTCCAGGTCCAGCTGTACCTGCAGTGTTTTGGCTCCTCACATGGCTGCAGGTGGTGTTTACTGTAGATATTACAGTACCACCAATTTGCTCTGTTAATTGAAAATGCCAGCTCTCTCCCCTTGTGAGCTGTGAAACTGACTCTCTCATGTTCTTGTCCAATTTTTTTTTTTAACTGAAGGCAGCAGCTAGCAGCCTGGTGTGTCTGAGGGAATTAGCAATGGAAATCTTTTCAATGGGCTTCAGCTTTCCAAAAGAACAGCTTGAGGGACTAGATCTTTCACAGCTCAGCCATTACTTCATCAAACTTCAATAAAGTTCAAAATCTGCCAAGTCCAAGACTAGACTCTCTCCAAACCCTCTTACGCCCTTTGCCTCACAGAAACCAACCAGGAAGCAACAAACATGCCCACTCCCAGCCCGATACACTATCCCTACAATGAGGATTTCAATTACCATTTTCAGTTCTTTCTCATCACTCAATAAAGTGAATGCTGATGATTAAGGAATTCTTAACAAATGAAGTCTAGCAGGCGAGTTGCTTCACATCTGTCCATCCATCTATCCATCCCTCCATCCACCCAAAAATCATACAAACAGGGAAACCATTTAATATCAGGTTTCCAGTCACCTCATAAACAGCATGAGTAAGAAGAAGCCCTGCACTAAATTATTGGATTGATTCCTCAGCTGTGTGGCAGCAGTGCTCAGGACCCCTGAAAGCCACAAAGGTGATGTTCAGCTGCTTGACTTATCTGAATGTGAAAGACCTCTTTCATACCAGGCAAGACATTTTTCAGATATTTTATTTGCATATGTATCACTCAAAGTAGGTTAAGTTTAAAACTTTGAATGTGGACTCAAGATTGACTTTCAGTGAAAAATAGGATCCTATATCACTTAAGCACTTTTGAAAATTTAACCCAGTCCTACAACATTTTATTTAAGCAAATAATGTTTACACATGCAAATTATCCCATTGATTTCAAAGGGACTGTTTAGGTGAGTAAGCACTATTAATGGTTTGCATGACTGCATTTTCAGTCCTCACTGAAGACTTGTACCTTTGACAAGTTTAAAGGAATTTGGTTTAGATACAACAAAGTTATATATCTTAAAAATTGCAATTGCATAATGGGATAAATTTGTTTTCCTTAACTTTCTAAATGCATTCTGAAGTATGAGACTCCAGATTGTCTGTCTAAAAGGTAATTTTCATGATATACTTATGCAAGACTAAGGGGTGGTTTGAACCTGAGGTTCCTTTAGTTTTATATACAATAGCAAGTTTATACACACTCTTAAGAATTGGGAAGTTATATTCAGTTGAACGCTGTTCAACGCCCATTTTCTGCCACGATAATCTTCCTAGACTTATACAGCAGTCTACAACATTTGAAAGGTAATGATACAACAAATTCAAATGATGTAATAGATTAAGAGTTTAATAGAGTAAGTGTATCCTGGAAATGACTACATTATAGTTATAACAGAAAGTTGCTAATGAAGAGGTCCATGTGGCCTCGAGAATGGGGCTGCGTTGGTCTTGAATACCCCAGATCTTACCTGATTTTAAAAGCTAAGCAGGACTCTCCCTGATTAACATTTGGTTGAGAAATGGCTGAACCAAAAGCCTGGATCCGAACAAGCTTCCTCTTGAGGTTGCTCAAATCGAGATCTGAAGTGTATGGGTTGGACCCATCTGTGTATGGAAAGTTTGTATATGGAATCTAGCATTAAGCTTCTAAATAGGTGGCCTAATTTAAATCTCAGAAGAGCTGAACACTCATAACTCCAGTTGTCTTTAAATGATTAAAATCTTTTTGTGGCTAAATGAGTTGATTCTGTCAGTCTGATATATAAATGGATTGAGCCTCATTTCTCTATTAATAGCCAGTATATGGAAAATAATTAATGATTATGGCACATGCATATGCCATATCATAAGCAAGAAGAAAGCCATTGAAAATACATATTTTTCTGTGTCCATGTTATAACAGCAAAACCAACCTTGGCTTCATCAGGTCCTTCAAGATGGTCACTAATCCCCAAGAAAGTGCCTTAAGACAAAGCTATTGCTGCTTAAATACTAATGTTTGAGAAAAGAAATATTGTGATAAAGAATTGTGGTGACTTACCTCAATGACTCCAGAGCATCATTGACAGCGTCAGAGAAATTGGAGTCTGTTGGGACACTGAAATATGGTCGACAAAAACTAGGTCTGACACCAAGGATTTCAACCTCACAGCCTAAAAAGACAAATATTGTACGTTTTGGTTTTGATTATAAGCGACGAGCACTGGGGACCATGGGAAGGTGAATTTTTCTTGTATTTCTGGCCATATCAGCTGGAGATTTTGAAGACTGTCAGAGCCAAAATGACATTTGTCATTCATTTCACATTCTTAATTCATGAAAGATGGCACAGCATTTGTCTGTATGGAGAGTATTTGATGAAGGTCTTCTGGAATCCATTAATTTTATCCTTTTTCCCCTTTTAAAAGTGACATGTTGGTATGACCTTCCCTTTGATAAACTCTGATTCCTGTGTGGCAGGTCTTTGCCATTTAGACTACCAAGTTGGCTCCTTTTGTAATAGTTTTCAATAATACAATCACATTCCTTCATTCCCAAATATCCAATGTAACAGAGGTCTAGATTATTATTCCTAAAGTAGACTTTCCAATTAAACACAACACCTACCATAAAAATACCCTCCATAAAATATATTTTTACTATGTGAGACTGGAATGGAACAGTTAGATCTCATTCTTAGAGGTTCTTATCAAAACAGTTTAAGTCAATTAACTCTCTTAGTAACCTGCAGCCTTTCCTAGTAAAATACAATGTGTTTTGTGGCATACAACTTGTGGCAACATATCCTATAGGAGAACATGGGCTCTTAACACAGGAGAGCAAGTTTTTTTATGTCTGGTTACTGCACTAGTGGGTGACATTAATATTTATAAGTATACGGCTCAGTGACACAAAATTCATGCAATTTAGCTTTAAACACCCGGGAGCCACAGCAATATATACTTCTTGGGATATTCCCAGAATACAGAGAGAGAGAGAGGTCTTTTGCAAAATGGCTTCATGGCGTAGAATCATAGGACTGGAAGGGACCTTTAGAGGTCATCTAGTCCAGTCCCCTGCACTCAGGCAGGACTAAGTATTATCTAGACCATCCCTGATAGGTGTTGTGTAACCTGCTCTTAAAAATCTCCAATGATGGAGATTCCACAACCTCCCTAGGCAATTTATTCCAGCGCTTAACCACCCTAACAGTTTTTCCTAATGTCCAACCTAAACCTCCCTTGCTGCAATTTAAGCCCATTGCTTCTTGTCCTACCTCAGAGGTTAAGAACAATTCTTTTCCCTCCTCCTTATAACAACCTTTTATGTACTTGAAAATGGTTATCATGTCCCCTGTCTTCTCTTTTCCAGACTAATATGTAGTAAAATATTTTGAGATGTTGCTAGGTCAACAAGAGAGATTATTTTTCTACCCTAAAGTGGTGTTAGCAGCACTCTGAAACTGCCACAATTTGGGCCACTTTGCTAAACCTTTGGGATTAAAGAACTATGCTTTAAGGAATGCTGGGAGCTGGATTCTGTTGTAGGAGGAAATAAGGTTACACAACACCATTGGCGCTGAGTTTTTAATCTGCTGGTGGGTACTTCACCCAGGCCCCACCCCCACTCCACTCTTTCCCCCAAGGCCGCACCCCTCCCTGCTTTTTTTCCACTCTGGCTCCGCCCCTACCCTGCCTCTTCCCTTCCCCACCCTTTCCACACCCAGTTCCGCCCCCTCCCCCGAGCCCACTGTGCCCTCACTCCTCTCCCCTCCTCTCCAGCGCCTCTTGACGCTGGGAGGGAGGAGGAGGCACTGATTGGTGGGGCCCACCGGTGGGCAGGAGGTGCTGGGCAGAGGGGGAGGTTCTGGTAGGGTGGCTGCCGGTAGGTGCTCAGCACCCACCATTTTTTCCCCAGGGGTGCTCCTGCCCCAGAGAGCCCATGGAGTCAGTGCCTATGCACAGCACTGTTTGTTGCTGTGATGCTGAGCCAGTGAGGGTTAAGTAACCAGCAGCCTACGTGACCTGAAAACAACCCTTAAGGACATATTAGAAGAGTATTGAAATGGTGAACAGGGCCATTCCTTATAGATAGTTAGTAAAGCCATATTAAATAGACTAGAGTCCTTGAAATGTAGGCGTGTATTGTTAGAGAATTAAGAATAGATACTAATTGTATTTGTCTGTGTTTATCTGAATCTTCTAGGTAAACTTATAGCTGCTAATTATCTTATAAGTGCTAAACTTCTGTTCCTCTCTATACTATTTCATACTGTATTCTATTGATTCAAAGATCAAAAGAGGATATTATCATTTATATTGGACTTGAGGTGTAATAATATTATTGTCTTCGTTCCTCTTTGAAATTTGTAGTAGACTACCTATGAACTGTTTGGATAATTGCCTAATGAATACAACTAGTTACCAGTGTATGCCTAGGAAATAGGGATTAGCTTCAAAGCAACAATATACATTACCTATTCTTCAGCCAAGGAAGCCCTGCTGTGACCACAGCTTGTTTCAGCTATAAAGGAAGTCGGGCCTGATCCTGTTTTATCTCAGATCCGCTTAAAATTTATCAGGGAAAGTCTAAGTCACAAGACTGAGGTCTCCAGATCTACTCTGGATTACCCCTGCAGATTGATGAAATCTAATTATGGAATAAACCACCAGTTTGGGGATCGTCTGCCCTATTCTTTTCCATTTGCCCTGGTTGAGCAATCTCAGTGTGGACTCTCCAGCGACCACAGTCACAGTTGCTTAATAGGACTCTCAAAAAAAGCCATTTGTCAGTTTTCTGCATCTCAGCCTGGTTGAGCTCATATTACCAACTCACAATGCTGGGTTGCAAGGAAAAATACAAAATACCCAAATAAAGCAGGCTATACTGACACATTGATGCTTCTCCATAGCTGCAGATATGAATCCTTTGGCATTGTGGACCACATATAAGTACATAAAAGGCAGTTACAAGGAGGAAGGAGAAAAATTGTTCTCCTTGATCTCTGAGAATAGGACAAGAAGCAATGGCCTTAAGTTGCAGCAAGGGCAGTTTAGGTTGGACATTAGGAAAAACTTCCTTACTGTCAGAGTGGTTAAGCACTGGAATAAATTGCCTAGCGAGATTGTGGAATCTCCATCATTGGGGATTTTTAAGAGCAGGTTAGACAAACACCTGTCACGGATGGTCTAGATAATACTTAGTCCTACCATGAGTGCAGGGGACAAGACTAGATCACCTCTTGAGGGCCCTTTCAGTCCTATAATTCTATGATATTACTTCAAGATCAGTATACTGAATTTAATATTTTGACATATTGTGATCTATCTACTCAGGCCAAGATTTCCAAAAGTGTGTGCCTAAAGTTAGGCTCCTAAATCCTTATTTAAGTGCCTATGTAAAGAAGTTGAAGAGTGCTGAGCCCCTAGTAGCTCCCATTGAACTCAACTGATATTGGTTAGTGCTCAAATTTTGAAAATCAGGCAAGTTATTTACATGCTTCAATATGAATTTAGAAGCCTAGTTTTAAACAACCACTTTTGAAAAATTTGGCCTTAATCTATGGCATTTCTGATGCACTCCTCACTATAGTGTATTTATCACATGGAATTACAAACACTTCACTGACCCATATGAGTTGAATATATGGCCATCAACCAGGTACATGTGTGGTGTGGCCATATGCCTCATGGTACACTTATTTAGAATTGATGAATGGCATAATCCATATGATAGGCTATAGATTCAATCTCTGTTTTAAATAGTCTTCTACAACAGTAGCACAGAGATGTACTATAGGAAGTCTGGGTAGTCAATAAAGCTGGACAAAAATTTTTTGACTGAAGCATTTTTTCAGCAAAAAAAAAAAAATGCAGATCAGTGACACCAAAATCTTTTACAAGTTCATGTTAGTTTTGCCAAATTAATCCTCTTGAACCTCCCCTACTCCCTACTCCCCCCAAAAACACTGAAACATTTTAGGTTTCAGAGTAGCAGCCGTGTTAGTCTGTATCCGCAAAAAGAACAGGAGTACTTGTGGCACCTTAGAGACTAACAAATTTATTAGAGCATAAGCTTTCGTGGACTACAGCCCACTTCTTCGGATGCTGTAGTCCACGAAAGCTTA